GAACAGCGTACTTGCACTCGCATTCAGGGGCACGGTGAACATCTGCGCCGTCTCCCACACGTCGGGCTCGTCCGGCGCGCTGCCGACGAGCGCGCCGTCGACCCAGAGCGCGAACTGGTCGTCCGCGGTGACGACGACGGCGGCGCTCACCGCGGCCTTGCCCGCGCTGCCGGTGAAGGTGCGGCGGAACGCGAGCGCGCCGGCGGGCGCGGCGCTCGCGGCGGTGGCCGTATCCCAGATCCAGGTGGCGGTGGTGAGGGAGGGCGCGGCGGGCGCGGGGGCCGCGACGGCGACTTGGGTGTCCCAGGGCGCGACGCCGTAGGACCCGAGTCCGGCGGCGGCGGGCCAGGAGGTGTCGGAGACGGTAGGGGACTGGAAGTTTGCGGGGATGGAGGCGGTGGCTTTCCATCCCGCTGTGCCGGAGGAGACGAGCGCGGTGGAGCCGTCTGTGAATGTCACGAGTGCGGCGAATAAGACGCCTGCTGGGCCGGCGCCGCCGGTGGAGACGTCGGGGAGGTTGGTCGCGCGGATGGCGAAGAGCGTGGAGGATGAGGAAGACCCGGGAGAAGGAGAGAGGTTTACGTTGCGGAAGATCTGGGCGGACATCCAGATGTCTGTGACATTGGGCGAGGAGCCGATGAGTGCGCCGTTAACATAGAACGTGAAGCGGTCGTCGACAGTCATCACCACTGTCGCGCTGGTAGGAGTTTTTCCCGCAGGTGTGGCGTACGTGAAACGCAGCGCGACGTCGCCTGGAGGGGCATTCGGCGGGGACGGTTCGGACGCCCATATCCACGACGCGGATGTGAACGCCGTCAAGAGAGACGCGGGGACCACGGTGGTGTTCTTTCCGATCCAAGCGCTCGGGTTCCAGTCGGTCTGCGCGAGGAACCCGGTGGTGAAGTTGCTTGCGGCGCTAGCGCTGCCGGCTGTGCTGACGACATTAACGGTCCAGAAGTACGTCGTGTCGGACTTGAGAGCGGGGCCAGCGTATTGGCGGAGGTAGGGAAGAGGGGAGGTCACCACACCAGAGTCCCACACGTCCGTGGAACCGGCGGAGACGGCGGAGACGGTAAGACGGTAGGATTGCTGCGAAACGGCGCGGGAAGCCGAGGCGAGGAGCCACGAGAAGCGCGGGGTGACATCGATGCCGAGCGGTGCTACCTTGTTCTCTACGCGGAGAGTGGAGAGCGTCACTGCGAGATGTTAGCAGTATTCAAGGAAAACGGGTTAGCGACACACATTGGGCGTGTACTCCGATGCAGAATAACAGACTTGCTGCCCCAACTAGGGCGGAAAGTGCGCGCATGGCGAGCGATAAAGATGCCTTTCCGCGCGCGCTCAAATATGCAGGTTCTCAAGAAGTTGGAAGCGAGAACGCACTCGCAGCATGTGTGCTGGCCATCACCAGACGCAGCATGTGATACACGGGAAACGAACACACCAATAACAGCGAGAGACAAGAATAGTTTCGTCAGGTGTGGTTAGTAGAGTAGATCGATCATGGCAGAGAGTTGGCTTGTAGCAAGGGAAGCAGATCCGTGTGCGGGATTGCAGATGATCGGAAGCAAAAGGCAAAGGCTTACGTCAAACCTTAACCCCAGTGAATATCCCTTATGCCGGGGTCTGCCCAGATCCGCTCTAATCTGCCCACCCAAAGTAGGGCAGACGAGGGCAGATCTGGGCAGAGAAATGAGCCTATGGCAGATGAGATTTTGAGCTCAATCTGCCGTTTTATGCTCAGATCTGCTCAGATCTGCCCGAATTATGTTCAAACCTGCTCATGTATGCCCTGCTAGTTTCGTTGGATGTACTCGGGAAAAGCAATAATATTCAAGTAACTACGACATCCATCTACATACGACATCTACAACCATGCAACGCCGCGCCGCCCTGCTGCCTCCGACATGTTGGATGTGTGCGCCGCGGACTCGGATTCAAAGCAAAGCAAACAGTCCGAAGTTGCTGCCAGACGTCGTCGTGCCGAAGGCAGACGCGACGTGCTGCGCCGCGAAGAAGCACGACAGCGCATTAACTTGAGCGCAACGAGAGGGGTGGTGGTGGTGGTACTGTGTGAATGCGTCTCGTTGACAGAGTAAGACAGAGTAGTATAGCAAGAACGGATGACGCACCACACGCAAAGATTGCGTTGAAGGGCGTCACGCGGGTCAAGTCAAAGCAAGAGAGTTGGACGGATGCACCTCAACCAAAGGAACAAATCTAGCAGGAGCTGTAGCGGTGGCGAATAAAAATCAACGAAAAGAAAGAACGGGACACGGGGAAAACTCACGAATACTTCAGGGCTGTCGCGCGCGTTCACGCTTACATCGCATGATCCGAGAGCGTCGAGTCGCAACTTGAATATGACCTGTAGGGCGCGCATCCCCGCCGGGATGGGTTAGCGCCAGTACCTTCGCGATCTCGGAATACTCACCTGATTGGCTTATCTCGTTGACCATGCCCACAGCGACGGAGGGTGAAACGACGCGTCAGAAAGGGGATAATCGCGCTATTCGTCCCTTACCGTGTTGCGAGCATGGAGTAATGTTCCAGAGGGAAGTCGAGGGAGGGAAGGGAGGGGCAGAGAAGAGGGCGGGGGAGTCGAGGCGATGGTGGCAGGAAGGAAGGAGTGTTTCAAACTCCGCTGATCCCCCGCTCAAAGTGGTCCGTGCGCGCAGGTGGATGACGCGGTGGCGTGCGATTCACTGTGGACTCTGGATCGAACATCTACTACTTTCTAGGAGACGAAAAATTGCTCGCCTTTGATTTCAAGTCGCGGACGGACGGGGACAGAATCTGGCAGATCTGAGCTGAGATCGGGCAGATGGCGGCAGATGTTGGCAGGTCCCGGCATAAGGGATTTTCACTGGGCCTTAACCCTGACATGACATCGGTGGCGGTGTCCTCCTCTTTTCATCGTCATCTACTGCATCTGCGCGTTTGGCGCGTGTATCCGGAAATAACGGCTATTCTTAGACTCCTGAGCTTGACTGTCTCTCCTGATGCGCGTTTGACGCGTCTTCCTTGCATGTTCCGTTCGACACGCGACTTATGACGCGACCAGCCCCAACGCGAGATTTCTTCCCGGGTCGGCACCATGTTGGAAAGAGCACCAGTACTTTGGATAGCATGACCTGCTGCACTCGGCTACCAGCGATGGAAGCACGATTATCCAAAAGAGCCACACTGACTCGGGCGCGATTCGGACGAGCTCCTGCCTGGATTATCACACACGAACCTTCCACTATCGGGCCTTCCCATCTCATCTGAGAACTTGCTTTTAATAACATTTAAATGTGGGGTTCACCACGACGGAAGCAAAAAGGCATCCAATGTTATGGCCCGGGCTAGATTCGAACGAGCAGGTCCTGCATACGTCGCTTATCATCGCATATTGAAAGCGGATGCGGACCATCTGCTACCGGGCCTTCCTCTGCTATTTGAGAACCTGACTAGGATGCATGTAAATCATAAATTCAAAAGGCCCTCCGGGCACCCCTGGCACCTCCACCTGTACCTGTGTAGTCCTGCAGGGAGCGGTGAGGCCATGATGAGAAGGAGTAGGAAGGAAGGAAGGATGAATTGTGACGCCATTGCAATCGTTGGCAATGGGAATTTTAAATTTGAGATGCATGGACATGGATATCATATCAAACACATGGCTGTCATATCAAAGATATGTGGTGTTTCATGAATTTGAGGGGACATCCCTAGTCGCTGACCTTATACATAAATATTGGGGGTGGTGTGACTCTCAGGCAACCGCTTGATTACACTAAATGGTCACCCAGAGGCAGCCCCCGTGTTTGCAAAAATCTAGTACTCTGTTTGATTGTAATCGGATGCTTGAAGATCAAGTGCTCATGGCTTGGAACAATCTGCTGCTCGTTTTGTGAGAAAATAGGTGCTTACGCAGTACTCTGAAAGGATTCAGTGTGAATTTATTCGGATTTATTCATGGGACCCCCCATGTTTTAAAAACCATTCGAACGAATGGCTCTGATCAGAAGGAATGATGGATTGTGACGCCATTGTGATCGTTGGCAATGGAAATTTTAAATTTGAGACACATGGATATTAATTAGGCCTGTGGATATCATATCAAACACATGGCTATCATATCAAAGATATATGGTGTTTCATGAATTTGAGGGACGAGCCAGCACTACCCTGATAGTTATTGAGAGAGGAATTCCGACCGTAACGCTCGAGTTAGTGAGAAACGAATATATGAGAAACGAATATATGAGAAACGAATATACGGGAAGAAGTTCAATAGGTTTATTCCTGGTACATTACATGTACAAAGGCGCTGGGTCCCAGAGTGAAATGGGGAGTGGTGTCGGGATCTGCCGATAATCACATGATGTGATAAAAAAGGTTTTGGGTGATGGGTCGCGGGATATGCCCAAAGAGCGTCACATGATGTGATAAACTGAAGGGCGACGAGGCAGGTTTGAGTTAAGGGTTTTTGGGTGATGGGTCTCGGGATATGCCGATGGGGTGGGAAAAGTCACATGGTGTCATGATCTGAAGGGGACCGAGGCAGGTTTGAGTTACAGAAAGTAGACCTGGAACCTAAGACGGTACCAGGAATTCACCAACATGGAATCAAAAAGGCACATTCCACCAATACCTGTGATGGCCCAGGCTCGATTCGAACGAGTGGGTCCTGCATAGACCACTTACAATCGAATATTGAAAGCAGGCGCGAACCATCCGCTACCGGGCCTTCCTCTGCTACCTGAGATCTTGCCTGGAATAGCATTCGAATGTGGGTTTCACCACGACGGAAGCAAAAAAGGCATCCAATGTTATGGCCCGGGCGCGATTCGAACGAGCGACTTCTGCATGTATCGGTAGATGAAGGCCTATTGAAAGCAGGCGCGGACCATCCGCTACGGGGCCTTCCTCTGCTGTTTGAGAACCTGACCAGGATGGTATTTAAATCACAAATTCATCCACCGAGGAATAAATAATACAGCATCTGAAATGTTTTATGGCCCGGGCTCGATTCGGACGAACAACGCCTGCATGCATATTGGGAACGATCAAGTATTGAAAGCAGGCGCGAACCATCCACTACCGGGCCTTCATCTGCTATCTGAGAACCTGACCAGGATGACATCTAATTCATAGACTCCCTTACCGCGGAATCAAAAAGACAGGATTTTTTTATGGCCCTGGCTCGATTCGAACGAGCGAGTCCTGCATACTTCGCTGACGATCAAGTATTGAAAGCAGGCGCGGACCATCCGCTACCGGGCCTCCATCTGCTATCTGAGAACCTGACTAGGATGGTATTTAAATCACAAATTCATCCAGCGGAATCAAAAAATATTCCCCCGAAATCATGGCCCGGGCTCGATTCGAACGAGCGACTCCTGCATGCTATGCATACTCAGGGATTGAAAGCAGGTGCGGACCATCCACCACCGGGCCTTCACCTGCTACCTGAGAACCTGATCAGGATGGCATTTAAATCACAAATTCATCCACAGTGGAATCAAAAATTTTTCAATACTTATGACCCTGGCTCGATTCGAACGAGCGACTCCTGCATGCACGGGTCTCATCACATCATTAGAAGCAGGTGCGGACCATCCGCTACCGGGCCTTCCTCTGCTACCTGAGAACCTGATCAGGATGGCATGTAAATCATAGATTCACTCGCCGTGGAATCAGAAATACAGAATCGAAACTCTGATGGCCGGGGCTCGATTCGAACGAGCGACTCCTGCATGCATATTGAGAACGATCAAGTATTGAAAGCGGGTGCGAACCATCCACCACCGGGCCTTCCTCTGCTACCTGAGAATCTGGCTAGGATGGCATTTAATTCACAAATTCATCCACAGTGGAGTCAAAAAGACACTCGACCCACTTTATGGCCCTGGCTCGATTCGAACGAGCGAGTCCTGCATAGATGATGCAACAATTGCTTATTGACAGCAAGTGCGGACCATTCACCACCGGGCCTCTGCTACCTGAGAACCTGATCAGGATGACATTTAAATCACAAACTCATCCACAGCGGAATCAAAAAGATAGAATCAGAAACTCTTATGGCCCGGGCTCGATTCGAACGAGCGAGTCCTGCATAGATGAAGTAACAATTACTCATTGACAGCAGGTGCAGACCATCCGCCACTGGGCCTTCCTCTACTACCTGAGAACTTGATCAGGATGGCATTTAAATCACGAATTCATCCACAGCAGAATCAAAAAGACGGAATCGAAACTCTTATGGCCCAGGCTCGATTCGAACGAGCGGATCCTGCATGTATCTGTAGCTGAAGGTCAATTGAAAGTAGGCGCGGACCATCCGCTACCAGGCCTTCCTCTGCTATTTGGGGAATTGATTAGGGTGGCATTTAAATCACAAACTCATCCACAGCGGAATCAAAAAGACAGAATCAGAAACTCTTATGGCCCGGGCTCGATTCGAACGAGCGAGTTGTACATAGATGATGTAGCAATCACTTATTGACAGCAAGTGCGGACCATCCACTACCAGGCCTTCCTCTGCTACCTGAGAACTTGACCAGGATGCCATTTAAATGACAAATCCATCCACCACGGAATCAAAAAGACAACATCTGAATGGTTCATGGCCTGGTCTCGATTCGAACGAGCGACTTCTGCATGTACGCAAGTCAATCTGGTATTGAAAGGGGTCTGGTAAAAATGCCGCGGCAGGCGCGGCATTGACGCGCATTGGCGCGGCACTGACGCGCTGTGACGCGGCGTGACGCGCGACTGACGCGGCAATCGGCGCGCAACCTGTAGCTATTGGAATTCTACATTTTGAGGCCCAACTTCATACCCCACAATGTTTTCTATGTATAACACATCATTTGAACGCAAAAAGTCCTTCCCCAAAAATTGGGTGCTCAAGGCTTGTGGGGCCGCTAATTAGTGCTAATTAGTGCTAATTAGCAACCCAATAATAGTCAACTTGAACATACTAATTCCCAACACAGCCAACCGACATTGAAAAAGTGATGGTCCATAGCGTGCACTGGCAGCACAACTGCGGCTAGGTACCGATAATTACCATGCAATTAATATTGGTATCTCTGTTCCCCTCTGGTAGCATAATAGGCCCCTTGGCCTCGCGGACTGCATGCTGAGTTACTTCCTCTATCTCATAATTCCCTCATCAAGAATCAGCATGCCATGTGGAATAGAATGAACCCATGCACTGGTTCTTTGTGTTTGATGATTTCGCAATTCATCTCAGTTCCCAGAGACATATAACTGGATCAGCACTCACAAACACGCGGTGCTGGTGGGCCTCATTCCTGCTTAATTGAAAACAAATTGCGCCCATAGAATGATGAATGGAATAATAATGGACGGTTGCATGATGTTCAGGGTGGTCCAAGAAGACATTCTAGCATTGATGACAGGGTATTCGTCCAGTTCCAGCAGTCCATTGCACTACCTAGTCTTGATATTAAAATTGTACATGTAGTAGACTGCATGAACAAGTTTACTGACAGAAGTTGTTGAATTAAAAAAGCGTGGATTCAAAAGCCACATAGAACAGCACGATTCAGCTGAATACGGGTCTAGTAAAAATGACCCAGATCTGAGGCCAAAAAAACCCTCCACTAATCAGTGCTAATTGGTCCTGGGAATTAACATTGTCGCGTGTGTTAAGGCTCGTCAGAGATTGAGGGTTTGGCCCCAAATCTTTTTTTGCACAACATTTGGCCTGAGTTCAACTAATTCTGATTTGAAACATGTGTGCTTAGACTAGCCTTTGATCACACTCATTCCTTGCCTCTTGACATGGCAATCGGCGCGGACCTCATACTACTTCAAGTAATTTAATGGCAAACGGCTTATCCGATGTATGTTTATGACCTTGAAGATATCACACAGGTAAAATAAAATCCGCACCCAAATTTTGAACCACACCCTCCACCAGCCGATTGCTGTTCATTCTTGACATATCCCATCACTTCTGGGGTTTCTTAACTCAATTATGGCCCATAATCACCATTTTGGAGAATAAGAGGAGGGGGATTGCCACATAGTTCCCAATGTTGGTTTCCAGTTGCACAGGGCGAACCAACGACTGAAAATTGAATTGAACTTCACCTATCTTAATGGGCATGTTAATGACAGAGTTCCCCGGAATGTGCTGTAGGTTGATACAATGAGCCGGCAGCAGCGTATAATCACTTTGTAATTGCATTATGCCCAATCTGGTTATCATGGCCACTACCCTTCTCCAAGTTTGGCCAATGTTGTTCCTCATATACCACTAGGATGATCCCCCTACTTGATTCGTCTTCCTTGGTTGACGGCCTGTACTGAGTGGAAGCCATAGATTTCACGCGTCATCTGAGACTAATATCAGTATTTGATGAATCTCGATCAGCCTGGCCTCCAAAATGCATAAGGTTCGATCGGGAGAATTTCCTGATCCTAGAATTGTGATCCCAATGCAGACAGTGTATTTTTTTTGCATGTGAAACTGAGGCATCATGAGGTATATGGAATTTAGCATAGCACTGGATGGTTGGGATTCACGCAATGTATCCGAGTGCCCACTCAACAAGGCTGGCCACACACCCGAAACCTTAGAGAGATGTTTTACAAGTGTCACACTCCCACCCGTTGTCGCAGTTTGCCCGATTGTGAACCTGTGAACAGCTTTCAAAGCATGTGAACAAGTTGTGTAAAATTTACGGTCTTCAGTGACGATGATGCACAGACAGGGTTGGGACAATGATTCCGCTACCCCTGCTTCGAAATTTTGAACTTCATGAATGTTGAATTATAAGTTGATATATTGTGTTGGATTACACACCCAAAAGTTGTGAACGGTGGGAACTTGAACAAGCTCCATGAAATATGGCAGTGCTTGGGCGACGGCGTGTTGTATCCCCATCCAAGTGACCTGGGGAGTTTCGCAAGTGAGAATAGGAACATACCTACCCAAGATTTAGGAGGTAAACATGAGACTCCAGAAATTGACAAAACATGAAGTGTGATTTCATGCCGTTTCCATGTGTATTATTCACAGGCTGGATGACGGCCATAAATTCGAGAAAAGATTGGTATACTGGGCTTGAAGTGAGCAACTATATGATAGAACAATGGATTTATACCGTTCAATCAAGGTGGAGTAAGACTATACAACACGGTAGAGCATACCTAGGTAACGCGGCATTGACGCGGCAGTGGCTGTGTTGACGCGGCACTGACGCGCACTGGCGCGGTACTAACGCGCCCTGACGCGGCACCGGCGCGCATCGACGCGGCGGGTGACGCGGCATTGTTGCGGCAACCTCTCAAGGTCAAGGTGAGTTTAAACATGCTAACCAGTGTTAAAACATATGTTTTATCTATTTAAATTGCTTTGCAGGCCAATGAGGGTCGAGGGACTTATCAACGCCTGTGATTCACTTAGGTTCTGACCTCAAACATCTATACTATACAGCTAATCATCCTCAATCTGTGCCCTAGAGGGAATCTTGGCATATTCTGAGCATCATTTACACATCCAGAACATCAGCAGCAAGTTTAAATATTGCCGCGTCACGCCGCGCCGGTCCGCGTCAGTGCCGCGTCAGTGCGCGTCAATGCGCGCCTGCCGCGTCATTTTCTCCGGACCGTATTGAAAGCAGTTGCAGACCATCCACCACCAGGCCTTCCTCTGCTACCTGAGAACTTGACCAGGATGCCATTTAAATGACAAATCCATCCACCGCGGAATCAAAAAGACAACATCTGAATGGTTCATGGCCTGGTCTCGATTCGAACGAGCGACTCCTGCATGCATGCAGTTCAACCTGTATTGAAAGCAGGTGCAGAACATCTACCACCGGGCCTTCCTCTGCTATCTGAGAGCCTGATCAGGATGGTATTTAAATCATAGACTCCCTTACCGCGGAATCAAAAAATACAGCATTGGAAACGTATTATGGCCCGGGCTCGATTCGAACGAACGACTCCTGCATGTATCTGTAGATGAAGGCCTATTGAAGCAGGTGCGAACCATCCACTACCTGGCCTGCCTCTGCTATCTGAGAACCTGACCAGGATGGTATTTAAATCACAAATTCATCCGCAGTGGAATCAACAAGACATTCAACTCACTTTATGGCCCGGGCTCGATTCGAACGAGCGAGTCGTACATAGATGAAGTAACAGTTACTCATTGACAGCAGATGCGGACCATTCGCTACCAGGCCTTCCTCTATTACTTGAGGAATTGATTAGGTCGGCATCTAAATCCCAAATTCATCCGCGGTGGAAACAAAAAGACAGAAGCTGAATCACTCACGACCCGGGCTCGATTCGAACGAGCGACTCCTGCACGCCATACCGAAAATCAAGTATTGAAAGCAGGCGCGGACCATCCGCTACCAGGCCTTGATCTGCTACCTGAGAACCTGACATGGATGGCATGTAAATCACAAATTCATCCACAGTGGAATCCAAAAGATAGAACCGTTATGGCCCGGGCTCGATTCGAACGAGCGACTTCTGCATGTATCTGTAGATGAAGCTTAAGGGCCCATTGAAAGCAGGCGTGGACCATCCGCTACCGGGCCTTCATCTGCTATCTGAGAACTTGATCAGGATGGCTTTCAAATTACAAATTCATCCAGAGCGGAATCAAAAATAGAGCATTGGACCGATATCATGGCCCGGGCTCGATTCGAACGAGCGAGTCCTGCATAGATGAAGTAACAATTGCTCATCGACAGCAGGTGCGGACCATCCGCTACCGGGCCTGCCTCTGCTACCTGAGAACCTGATCAGGATGGCATGTAAATCACAAATTCAGCCAGAGGAATCAAAAAGACAGAAGCTGAAATCACTCACGACCCGGGCTCGATTTGAACGAGCGACTCCTGCATGCACACCACACACACTCAATTATTGAAAGCAGGTGCGAACCATCCGCTACCGGGCCTTCCTCTGCTACCTGAGAACTTGGCTAGGATTGTATTTAAATCACGAATTCATCCAGAGCGGAATCAAAAAATATTCCCCCGAAATCATGGCCCGGGCTCGATTCGAACGAGCGGATCCTGCATAGATTGCTTATAATCAGCTATTGACAGCAGGCGCGGCCCATCCGCTACCGGGCCTTCCTCTGCTACCTGAGAACCTGATCAGGATGGCATTTAAATCACAAAATCCATCTACCGCGGAATTAAAAGGATGGAACTAGAAATGTTATGGCTCGGGCTCGATTCGAACGAGCGACTTCTGCATGTACGCAAGTCAACCTGGTATTGAAAGCAGCTGCGGACCATCCACCACTGGGCCTTCCTCTAATATCTGAGAACCTGATCAGGATGGCATGTAAATCAACAAATTCATCAACAGTGGAATCAAAAAGGCAGCATTGGAAACTTTTTATGGCCCGGGCTCGAATGAGTGGTGTCGAAATCCGCGGTGTCAAAGTCATCTGGGATGGACGGCACCATTGAAAGAAGACGAAGAAGAACAAGTCCAAGCTTCTCATTTCTGCTGCGCATACTGCACGCCTTGTGGTCGAGTACGTCCAGCCTGCCTTTCTGTTCATTTCCATCTCACATGTTTTTTCAGGGACGACAATCCACCGAATGCGATACCTCCCGTCGAATCTGAAAACTCTAGTGAAGACGAATCCTCGGCCAACAGTTCTCCGATTCTTTCACATGAAAACTCGGATAATGATGATTTTCCTCTGTATGAGGACGTCGACATGCCGGATTATATCCTCACTCCATTGCTACACTCTGACGCTGAAGATCTTGGACCACGCGAACACACGGCGGAAGGTGATCAGACACAGGAACAGGGCTCGGTATGGATCTAACAGTCACCTTAAATTATTATCTAACTCCAATGACTTCAGGTTTCGTCGCTGCCACAAACTATTTATTCAGCCACCCTCCCTCTTGCAAGCTCAACCACAGACGCTGCGATCACCCTGACTACCACTACACCTACAACTGCCCCCGTCAACTGCTGCACCGCCCACTTCTGAATCACTGCTGCATTCGTACCAACAGCGACACGAACTTCAGGTCGGAAGTGAAAGCAACGCGAGATAAATCTGAGACAGTGCCTTTGCGGCATCCCTGCTGATCCAGCTGACTCAAATACCCCCGTGGCTCAATGTAATCTCGAAGGATGTGAAACACAATCGGTAAGTGATTAGCGAGTCTCGTGTGTGCGCTACCAACATATGAATAGTACCAGTTGGCTTGCCTCGAACTGGAGAGTGTCCCCCAGAACTGGATTTGTGAGGCATGTATTTCAACGGGGGCTGTTCGCTCAGCTGGTAAAATACGTCGGGGTGGGAGAGTCTAGACCAACATATATATTTCAAATAATGTGCAATGACGAGTTTGGGGTATCCATGCCAATCAGGGGCTCAAAGACTCGACCAATTTTTCCTCGTGTCATGTCACCATTTCAGGAGGTAAGTCGACTGTTACTTGGCAACCCTTGAACTTCTCCTGACGTAACTTGCAGAAACTAACCGCCTTGAAGAAGCTCAAAAGTCAGGCCGCAGATGCCAGATTCCCGTTGGGAGAATTGTCGCACACATCGAATCTGCCATCAAGGACATGTACAAGAGCCCACCAATGATTAAAGATGCTCAACTCATCGGGAATGAGTCCCAGGACAGCGGGAGCTCTGAGGTAAGTAGCGATCCAAGCTGAAGGCTCGAGGATCTACTCAAAATAATTTGCCTTAGGCACAAATTCAAAGCATCGAATCCGAGACTCAGATTGTGAATATTACTTCAACGAAGGATTAATTACTCGACTGGAGGACCACAGGGACTTACTTCGCCGAGGGGCCCCGATGATGTCCAGAGGTCGGAATAAATTTGCAGTAGTTTCTCAGGAGGATATTACGGTGCATATGCTCAAATTGAGTGATTCAGAATAGCACAAAAGTGGGTAGCAAGCCAAAGGTGCGCTCCTGGAGGTTTGGTGCACGCATCACACGGAGAATTACCGGATTTGGCGATGATGTGGGCGTCACGTGGTAGGTAGGTCCCCCGAGAAGGTGCTTTGGGATGATGTCAATTTTTTTTGCAGTTGTCACGGTCCAACTCGGCCCGTGTCGAAGTGTCGAATATGTTCAATGTGTCAAGTGTCACCCCTCTGTCGAATTGAATGAAATAATACAGTAACTCACTGTTTTCCGAAAGGGCCGATGATCACGGCTCTTTAGATCTGTCTTGCTTTCAGCTTGAATGAAAGATTGAATTACATCAACTAAGCAGTGATTTCGACCTAGGTCAGTATTTTTCTTTGTTGGGTGTGACTGACTGTAGTTCCAGCAGGGGGTATTTTAGATCCAGGACTTAGCTGTAATGGCACCCAAAAGAACACTCAGACAGGAAGATAGTCCATATTTTAGGTGGCTCATTGGTTGAAAAAAAGCAAGACCGATTGATCACCATCACAAATGGTTGATGGTTGAACAAACATTGCTGTTTCTCTCGTTCCACCCAGTTGTTTGAGGCAAATCCTTCTCTGGGTAGCCTGAGGTGATCCCCTGGTATGTTCCTACTGAATCTTAACAATGGGGATTGCCGAAAGGGTAGTATTGTTCTTCTACCAACTTGTGCTTCCCGCTTTGCAACTGCCTGGATCCGAGAGAATAAGTTGAAGTTAGAGCTGGAAAAAGGATTTTTTAAAAAGAGAAAGGGTTGGCAGCTCAGTTGCCATATTTCGAGCTCGCTTCCTTCTGGGTATGGCAGCATAAGCATGATTATTCATACTGCCGAGGCAATCATCGGCATAAGGAGCGGCTGTCAGCAAGCCGAAACATTCTGGCGTGCAGGAAATGTGCTTACGCAAAAAGAGATGACGAAAATGTGATCGTCTGCGAGTCCTGAAAATAGGGCGCCCTAAGACCCTTAACTAAAGGTAGCGGTGAAATGCTGCTACTTACGGTGTGGTGCAAATGAAACTAGTGCTTCAGCGACTAGTTGAATGCCTAAACACTCAACAAATCTACTAACACAACTAATCAACTCTACCACTCAACCACTCCAGGAGTATCAACAGAATAAGTTCGGGGGTGAAGGATCAAGTATTAGATCCGTTCAGGCTTCGAAGTTGATGGTGAGGAACCAGTTAAAGGTCTCAAAGGTTTATTCGAGAGGGTTCAAATCAAATAGACTAGATCTCAGTGGACAATGGTTCGTTGTATACAGTTTTATAGGGTAAGGTGCCACATAGGTCGTCTGGTGGGGTGGTTTGGATGGGCGTCAACCCGAGAACTCACTAGTAGAACTAGTCCGAGGTCCTTGATAGAACTCAAACAATGGGTCTGTATCACTTAATATCTTCCAGGCCAAGTAACTTCCAGGCCAATAGAGTCTTTGATCAAACTGTTATTTGGAACACTTAATACAGATACAGATTATAAATCCGATATGAAAAGTTCAGAGCACACAATCGAAGCCAGATAATAGGGTGTTTCATAGTTAAAATATTGGGCCCAACTCGTGCCCCAACTTGGGCCTCAACTTTCGTGGAGTTGAGGCCGGAGTGAGGCACAAAATCGAAGTTGGATGTCAAGTCGTGCATAAGACCACGACTTGACATCCAACTTGTGCCCCAACTTGTGCCTCAACTTGATGCCCCAACTTCGGCTCTGGCGCAGCATTTGTTATGTAAGGTGCTACGCGAAACCTAATTCTGCCTCAACTTCGGAGTTGAGGCAGAAATATCTGTTTAGGTGTTTCACGAACAACGCCTCAACTTGTGCCTCAACTTGGCTCGAGTTGAGGCCAGGTTGGGGCATAAGTTGAGGCATAAGTTGGACCCAAATTTTTAATTATGAAACACTCTAATGTACAGATACCAAAGGTAACTCTGCCAATAGATGGGTACGATTCGCTGCTTGTCCCCTACAATCCCGGCTGCTTAAATACCTATTCTACTTGTGCTTACAAACCAAACTCGTGCTATTTACATGGTATACTACTAGATTTAGAGCGGCCAACCGATAAAATATACAGGATCCGGGGCCTCTTCCATGTGCTGCTGCCAAGGGCAACCTATCAGATAAGAGTTTCACTCTGCTAGACATGTGGTGGTTTAGTAGGTGTGGCTGGAGCCTCTGTTCATTGTATCCTACCAGGGTTTTCCCCACTTGTCCGTCTATTCTGCTACAACCTGGTAAAATCTAAGGTCATAAATACCTTCCATGCCTGCTTGAATACCTTAAACAGGCGCGGGTGCTAGTTCAGTACGAGGTTGAACCTCTTCGGTTATTGCTCGATATCACGGAGATTGCCTGTCCGGCTGCTCGGCACCCGAGTCAGACGCAGCATTATACAGCTCCCGTGGTCTCAAATCAATCTCAGCCATGGCCTGGATCGTTCCACCCATGCGGTCCTCATGGTGCCCGTGGTTTCTAATATATTCCACCATAGGGTCGGTCTATTTCGGTAGATCCCGCTATGTCGGAGATTGCCTAGTGTTGCCGGGGTTCGGTTAGGTTCCGTTTTTTCCGAAATTTTCCGAACCCTGAACCGGACACATGCCGAACCTGGGGTTCAGTTCTCTGAGGTTCGTTTCAGGTTCAAAAGCGGTTCGAACTCCAACGAACCTGTGGGTTTTCCAAGAACACTGACTGACTCCTATAATTCTGGAATAGCTCCCACTGAGTGTAGAGATCGTTGAATTGAGTTGGATCATAGAGAGGTACCTGTTCCAGCTCTGTTTTTCAGGTTTGAATGGCAAGCCTTTCAGTTGATCTGCCTCCAGGCAAGCTAAAGATTTATCAGATTGTCCCGGGAAGTGGATCAAATCCCGACATGACGCCAATGGCGCCTCTGTAAATTAGATCTTGGGTATGACTTCAGCCTCATGTGGGTTTAGTTGAGGTTCAAGAAGCAAAACTACCTGTGAATGTTCATCAAATAGCCCCGAAAAAACTCAGGTTCGAACAGGTTCGCACCTGTTCGTACCGGTTGACAATCTCCGAACCCTGAACCGGACCTGAGGTTCGGTTCGGGTCCGGTTCAGGTTCAGCATCGGTTCAGAACCGAACAGAGGCAACACTAAGATTGCCCGTCCGGCAGATCGGCAATAGTTGACACATGTGCCACTCCCGTGGTTTCGAT